GTGTTTTATAGACTGCTGAAAATGTGGAAAGTTTAATGAAGGCTCCCAATTGTCCAATGTCACCATTCTTGGTTTTCACCGAAGACTCCAAAGGAAGGGTGGACAAGATCTCTATCGCGGGAGAAAAACGTGTATTGCTAGATGCCGATGATGTCGTGTCAGCTGTGTCGTCGCTTATGTTTATGTATTATGTATGTAATCTTGAGTAATCGAAGCAACGTGCCGTTATAAAAGTATTTGATCGTGTTAAAGTGCCAGCCAGAGTCTTATTGTTGATGAATGAATTTTTCCAGTAACTGTCTAGTGAACATTTTATTGTACTTGTAAATTGTTTTGTAAATAAATATATTTATTATATGGACAATGGTGTTTTACTGGAAACTAAAACACTCGTAGAACTCATACGTCACTACATCCGGGGCCAGGTGCGCGTATTTTCCGTATTTCAACCCTGCTAGTGACATACGAAGTCTGAAAATTTCCCGCCATTTTCACTGTTGTTGTTTTGAAAATACAAATGGTCTTTGGTTCATATTTGAAACGAAATTAACGTTGGATATAAAACGAAAACATTTAAAAGACATCTTGGGATAAGTAAAATTTATTCTAGTTTTATGTTTGCAGTATAATTTTAAAAAATATCGCTTTCGCGTGCTTATTTACATGTCGTCTTTGTGTGTATTTTTGTGACTCTAATAATAACCAGAACATTAAACGGTTGCGAGAAGATATGGATTTATGTTCTCGTATCAAAAACAATATCTCACTCGTTCGCTGCGCTCACTCGTGAGATATTGTTTTTGCCACTCGAACATAAAATCCATATCTCTTCGCAACCGTCTAATATCCTATATATATTGCCCATATGCTAACATTTCAAATAAATTTATTTTTAACTGTTACTATACATTTGGTATAATATATTATATAATAACTACAGTGAAACACGCAATTTGATTGGTCAACAGCCGTGCAGGATCAGACAATCCTGCACGGGAAATTCTGAACAGAAATTCTTGGCCATAATTTTACAAATATACTCGCATTGTAAAGTTTCACTGTACGATACCTTTCGACTTTGAAGTAAGTTTCCAGTTATTGAGACGTTGGTTTAGTTGTATGAATAAATTTCTGATCAATACATTGCTATTCAGCAAGTAGCAACGCGTAGCGTTGAAATTCATCAGACCATGGCATGCAAGTACAACATCTCTCGCTTCAAAGTTGATCAAACGCTTCGCAATCTTCACATATTCAGGTCGAGAATCTTGAAAACTACTTTGGCTCTCTGTTTAGCGGGTTTTCCATTTCAAATTTCGTATATTTTATCGAAAAAGTCCCTGTATTTTCGCTGTATATTCTCGCGAATTTGCGATCAAATTCTGTTCACATATGTTGTTGTTTTCAATAGCGTGGAGTAGCGATTCTCTGATTGGTTAATTCACGAATGTTGTGAGAACTGCACATTTCATCAGTAATTTTAATCAAGTTAAGCGTCGTTTCACTGTAGTAATTTTATAAAACAATTACCAAATGGTTTTCCCGTGCAGGATAGCATGATCCATGCACTTGGGATGTTGCTCGACTTTCGGAAAGCGTAAAAATACACTCGCCTACGGCTCGTGTATTTTTACGCTTTCCGAAAGTCTCGCAACATCCCGCGTGCATGGATCACGCAATCCTGCACGGAAAACCATTCGGTATTCCTTTAATTACATTAAATTAAACACTAGAAAGTAAGTTTACACTGCAAGCATACCGTCGTTTGCAACTAAGCTTAAACGGTCCAATAAGAAACGTAATAAAATCTGACGTCAAACTTTATCTAATTGACATAAACTTTGTAGGTTCTATGTAAACATGTGAGCAAGTTCTATATTTTCACAAACATTGTTTATTTCACTTTGGTTCAAACGTCGAAAACAAGAAATGGAGAGTCGCCAAACAATTGAGGAATTTTTAATGTCTATTGACGAAGATTTACTCAAGTATGCAGATTTATTTAGAAAACACGGATTTACGAGCAGCAGCACAATGAAATATTTAACAGTTATTCTACGAACTCGAGTCGAATATGAGCTGATAGCCGATGAGGCGCGTAGCGCCGAATCGGCTATCGCCCATATTCGACGAGAGTGAGTGGAATAACTGTCTTATTATATACACAAGGTCTGAATTCACAGACTTTGCTTTTCGGATATTTTCAATTTTGTTTCGGATATTTTCAATATTTTTCTATTTTGTTTATGTTTTTATCTTCGCTCTTTCGGCCGATTATGTTTTCAAAAATATATATTTTTAACCATTTTAAATTTTAAAAATTTATTTGCTAACCTGAAAACAATTTGTGGGAGTTTTTTCATTGTGTTTTTAATCCTGTGAAGGCTATAAAAAGCGACAACTTGCCGTTTTCTCGTTTGCAAAAGATCGTAAATTCAGTTTGGCCGCCATTTTGTTTTTCTCTACTAGCAGGATATGAGCTAATATCCTGCTAGTAGAGAACCAATCAGAATGCAGAATATCTCATATCCAGACCTTGTGTATATAATAAAAATAAACATAAATCGTGGATATCGAAAGGCTATCGCTATGGCCATGTTCAATTATTTCTAGGAGGCCGATATCCTATTTAAACATTTACAAAGTTACTAAATTGAATCAAGTTCCGTGAAGAATACGTTTAAATTTGTTAAGGCTAATGCCTTTTTTGTTTTGCTGTAATTGATAAGTCATTCCAAAGGGATGCAGCTGAATAACTGAAACTCTTTTTCATAAAATTTGTTTCAGGTTTCCCAAGATCATAGTTGTTGTTGTTACTTCTTAAATCATATCTGTCATTTATTCTAATTTTGAACATGTTGGAAATTGATGATGGCATTTTTTCGTTTCGTATTCTGTGCGTAAAAATTGATTTATTGGTTTTATAACGTTGGTTTAAAGGCTGCCAGTCTAATTATTTTAAAACATCCTCAGAACTACAGTAACTTCAGAAGTTTTACCAGTGATGATTCGGGCCGCTCTGTTTTGTAATTTCTGAAGTCTGTTTTTTAGGTAATCACAACAGTTATCCCAAATAACCAAGCTATAATAATCAAAGTGTGATAACACAATGGCATTATTTATTTTGGGAACAAACTGTTTTATTCGTCGCATCATTCCTATTCCTTTTGAAGCTTTTGTGACAGTATTTTGGATTTGATGATTCCATGAAAGATGTTCATCAATAATTACGCCTAAAGTTTTTGATTTGTGAACCTGTTTAATGACTGATTCACCAAGTTCAATTTTAGGGTCCGTTACTAAATTTGAAATTCGTTATCTTGATCCAATAACATGTATTCAGTTTTATCTTTGTTAAGTGTAAGTCTGTTCGCAAGTAACCATTGGTGTACATTTATTAAGTCCACGTTAATGCGTTCTTGTAGTTCGTCATTTGTCTTGCCATTGGTTGAAATATTTGTGTCATCGGCAAACATGCTTGCATGCAGAAGATGAGGTCAGGCAATTTGGCAGATCGTTTATATATAATAACAGAAGTGGCCCAAGATTAGAACCTTGGGGTATTCCACATTTAACTGTTCTTGTTTTGGACATTGTTTGATCTACCTTGCATATTCGAATCCTGCTAGAAAGATAGGACTGGAACCAAGCAAGCGTATGACCTCTTATTCCATAACAATGCATTTTTTTTAACAATATATAATGGTCAACACAGTCAAACGCTTTCTTGAGATCCAAAAAAATCACTCCATTAAACAAACCCTTATCCATATTCATTAGCCATTGGTTTGTGATGTTAAGTAGAGAAGTTTGTGTAGAGTGATTTTTCCTAAATCCTGCTTGTTGTTCTACATGTAATTAGTTTCAAAATAAATTTCTGGTTGCTCTGTAACTAATTTCTCATATATTTTAGCAACTGGGGATAGAACCGAGATTGGTCTATAATTATCGCAATTAGTTTTGCTTCCAGCCTTATGAATTGGAGAAATAATAGCAATCTTGAAGTCTTCAGGAAATATACCATGCAGTGTTTATATAGACGCGTTAAAGGACATTGGCAACGAAAATTTTTATTGCTTATATCTACTAAACATACCTACGAAATACTTAATTTTTTGTTTCCATGTATCTATCGCCTGTAGTTCTTCAGAAAATTCATGTAAATGTTAAACAGCCATCCGCCATTTTGAAAACAACCTCGTATGCTAATTTATGCATGTGACGTCATTAGATGGGTTCGGGAAATCTGATTATATAGATTACTATTGTACTTAGACGTTGTAGCTTGAATATTTCGTTAAAATGAATGATACAGAGGACATGGAATTAAAAAATTATGCAATAGCAAAGTATAACTCTTCAGCAGACACGACGTAAAAAATATTTGCAATATAAACGTCAAAATGCTCTCAAATCTCACGCGTGCAAGTGTGGGCCTCACACACGGCCCACACACGGTGCATCTGGCCATTATCAATACAGACAAGTTGCAATAATACTAAGATATCATAAAACAATATAATGCATGAATATTTGAATATTACAAAGTATTTCTACAAGAATCATTGAACACAACTGAACCAGCGACAAATAGAATATAGTCTATACAATTTATTAAACCGCAATAGTCTATATGTACCGAGATCGGTGCAATTGAACATAGAGTATTGTTTTTACCTGTGTGGCCCGCAAATGATGTCGGCAGAGTATAACAACAATATGACATTAGCGCATTAGATGTATACTCAGTCGTAAATGATGTCGGCAAAGTGACAACGATATGACATTAGCGCATTAGATGTAATATTATGGCGACACTTCTGAATTAAGTAGCGATTCCTCCAGATAAATGTTGTTTTTTTCGGCGATCGAGCCCCACCAAACGCGTCGGTGCTGACAAATTCTGATGTAGCACAGTGATTAGTGAGCACAATAATTGCATAATAAAGCGATAAGGAATTTGTTACCTTCATTATTCTAAACCGACGCCAAGTGAAAACATGTCGTACTGCCCGGTATACGGTTGCAATAGCGATGCAAAAAAGAATCCTGATAGAGTACATTTCTTCTCATTTCCAAACGGAAAATCGGTAGCCCAACAAACAAGAAAAAAGACGTGGATTGTATTCTGCAAACGAAAAGCATTCAAGCCATTATTAAATAGCAGAATTTGCTCACTTCATTTTGCTGAGGACGCATACCAGCCTGGACATTCGCCACAGTTTCTAGAGCTTTTAGAGTGTAAAGAAACTTTTCGAGTACAGTTAAAAACTGATGCATTGCCAACCTTGAACAAACCATTAATAGATACAAGTGGAATTAAAGCAAGAACTGTTACAAAAAGAAGACTACGAGAAAAAGTAATTCAAATTTTCAATCATTAATGTATTTTTGTCCAATAACTTTGCAAACTAATAGTCATTGTCACATTCTAAATGATAAACAGTAAAAATATTTACCTACAATTACAGGGAATATCTGATCTTCTAAATCCAGAAGAATTGGCAAAGGAAGAAGAAAGTTCAATTGAAGAGGACGAAGAACCCGGCACATCAGAGGCATTTGACACGGAAATGTTTCAACCGAGAAAGAACACTCGAGATAAATATACACAAACGTCCAAGAAACAAGGAAGAAGAACAGTCAAAACACAGACGATTATGAAAGCAACTTCCACGTTCTTTCAACCGAAATCAACGGTGCCTGTGCCTACGCACCCGCTTGAAGACGAGGTCACAGACACAGGTATAGCAATACTCAACACCCAGAAAAAACCTCACAATATCGAGCAAGAAACACTAGAACAAGAAGCAACAATAGAAGTTGAGGTGGAATGCAGTTCAAGCGAGGAATCGGTCGCAGCAGATACCTGCATTGAGTTCACTGCAGGCGAGGCATCATCGACCGAAAGCGAAGCCGAAGAAAGCAGCGATGACCAGCATCCAGATAAGCGTGTATTTCTAGCAGCGGGAAAATCTCCACAAGAGCAGATTAAATTTATTATTTTTGAAGAAGCAATACTCGAACTGTTTGGGAAGTGTGGCCAGTGCGGATCGGAATGTATTGTGACGATTGAAAATCAAATCGGCTCATCATGTAAAATTTGCGTGTCGTGTACGATGGAAAGTGTACATTACTTTGAATGGACAACTGGCCCGTCGATGTTCAAAATGCCAGCATTTCACCTGCTGCTCGCATCTGCCATTATCGCGACAGGCACGGAATCATCGAAGGTTCTTCGACTATTTAATGCGTTGAATATTCCTAATGTGAAACGAAGAGAGCTGTCGGATATTCAGAAGAATTATGCGATTCCTGCAGTCTACAAAGTTTGGCAAGAGGAGCAATCTGCGAGGCTGCGAGAAATAGAGGGAGAAACTATTGTGATTGCGTCAGATATGCGTGTCGATAGTCCTGGGCACACTGGTCTATTTGGATCGGGAAGCACGCTGGATATGAAAAGAAATCTGATATTGGACACGCAAGTAATCAAGGTAATACAGAGTTATAGTAAAACTTTATCATGTTTATTCGCGTCATACTGTTTCGTGCATACTGTAATAGGGATAATTATTTAGAATGTAAGCTGTAGGGCATGCTAAAAGATCCAAGCGTGAAGGCTTATTTCAAACGTTGCGCTTCCCATATGTGCCGAACGCATTAAATTAAAAACAATAGACAATCAGCTGAAATGCCTCCTTATCTATTGTTTCTAATGGGTTCGGCACACGAGAAGCGCGACGTTCGAAACAGGCCTAAGAGAGGCAAATTGGAAACACGAGGGTTAACTCGTATTATTTTATTTCCATACACAAAAAATTTATTGCTTAATTTTTAACAGTCAACAGAGGTAAAAAATTCAAATGCCATGGAATTGCAATCGCTGAAGAGGCAATTGAAATTCTTGGACGACAACAAGGTTGAGGTGACCAAGTTGGTGACAGATCGTCATACTCAAGTTTCTGCATACATGGCAAACGAAAAACCAGAAATTGAGCATTCCTATGACGTCTGGCATGTAGCAAAAGGTATACCAATATTATGGTATGTCTAGATATTATTTAACCTATTCAGTCGCATTGCACCCTGATGTGGCACACTTTATTATTTTACTCCGTCTAACGCCAGATTATTTTACTATATTATTTTTCAATATAATGATCAATTACATAACAATTCATTCTTCTTGTCATTTTGAAGGTGAGAAGAAAAAATTGACAAAGGTTGCCAAGAAGAAAAAATTCAAGTCGATTAAGCCATGGATTG